TTGTGACAGGGGATGTTTTCTTCTGAACTTAACCTCTCTTTTTACTTTGTGCTCTTCCGTAATAAAAGAAAAATAGTGCCCCCTTTCAGCATTTTTATTGTAGCTAATTACCTGGTAAGTCAAAAGGGACATTTCCATTTTATACTAGCTTGATGATTGGATGAAAAGAGCTCATCCAAATTCCCAGCCTCCTGATCAGGGGGAGGAGTCAAGATGTGTCTGTATGAAAAGAAGACATAGCAGTCTGAGTGAGATTCAGAAAGATACAGAAAGACTGGAAGTATTGGGATTTGCTTTTTCATGGAGTGTATAAGCTGAGTCTCTATTTATGCTCAGCCTCTATATTTGTAAATGAATGCTAATCTTACAAAATATCAGTAAAAATCCACTAACTTCTTTCCAAGGAAATAAAATCTGGATTCCTTTATAATTCAGTAAATACATTAATATTCATTCAGACCAATGACAATACAGTGTAGCAACTGTGCTTCATTTACAGTATGTACATACATTCAGCCTTGAACTTTGATTGTCATTGTCATTGTGTTTATTTACATAAAGAAAATCCTAGTTAATGATTTCTGGTTCCGAACTATATAGTTTAAAATAGAATGTTTATCCCACCATACTCTTAGGAAAACCCAAAAAATATTTGTAGAAGTATCTGCAGTACAATCTTAAGAATGTTTGGTCGGAAATAAATTCTATATCATTCAGTAATATTTCACCAACTAAGTTCTCCACTAAATTACACTACCATGGCTGAAATACATAGGACTGCAGCCTTAGTTTGATACTGTCTTTTTCTGCAGCTGTGGCTAGATTTTTAAAGTGATTTTTCTGTGATGGTGTTGGCAATTCATTTTGCCCTTAGAGATATCCTAAAAATACAAGTGTACTTATTGTTGTTATTGCTATGAATGATAGTAAGAAAAACAACCAAAGTAAAATATCTGAACCTATTATATCATTGGGTATAATATATTAATATGGTATGGGATAAAAAGTACATAAGGACATTCCTGCTTGGAGAAGGGAATATACAGAAGAAGAGAAAAGAGGATCTCAGTGCAGCCATAGAGTCCTGTTTTACTATCAAGAGTTGTAATGTGTACATACACTAATGATAACTTTCTATGATAAGTGCACCTAACATCATTTTCAGCCTTGCCAGTTAAACATTAAAAAAAATCTCTTACACCATTACTCAGAATTGCTCATAAAAGAATGATGCTTTTAAACATAAAAACACTAGAAAAATAACAGCAGCTCTGTGGAAGTGCATCTCAACCTGAGCACTTGGTTCTGCAAAAAGCGTAGAGATACATATTGAGATAGCAGATGTAAAGGGTGATCTCCAATTAAATGGCAATCTCCTTTTCTGACTTGGTAGTTCCAACTTGGAGACCTGATGGTTGGACTAACAGAGTGCCTTGCTGGTAAATGCCAGGTCTGTCTGCAATATCCATTCACTTTTGGTGGTAGATCAGCAGGCAGATTTGGCATATGTTGAAACTTGGCTAAGGAAGGGCAGCAATGTTGCCACATCAGAAATTGTCCAGCTTGGTTTTGAGTTCTCCATCAGCCTTGAAGCAGGGTAGCATCAATCTATCGTGAGAACTTACCTATGACCAGGTCACTGTTTCTCAAGTGGAAGATGTGAATGCCTATGTGTTAGGTTGGTTAGCAAGGATAAGCTAAGTGTTCTGCTGATGTACTGGCCATCCTGTAGCCCACCAGGATCTCTCCTTGGACTTCTGGACCTGGACTGATGGTAGAGGTCTCTTGCCTGTTGGTGTTGGGAGATTTCAACCTCCATGCAACTGAGGCTGGAGTGGGAAGGGCCCAGGAGTTCATGGTCTCCATGACAATTATTTGCCTCATAGTGTGGATCCAACCTGCATGGTTGGACGCATTAGACATTGTATTTGCTTTAGAACAGTTGTTATGTGATCTGGATGTGGAGGGTATTACCATCATTATGACACTGCCATAGTCAGATCACATCCTGGCCTAGGTGTGATGGGTGGCTCCCTGTGGCCTCTCCAATGCTGGATCAATTTGAATGGTTTCCAACAGGCATTTGGGGAGTTTCTTGACATTTTGGTGGGCAAATCTGCCAAGAGTCTGATTCATTATTAACATTGTAGGTAACCTGAGCCCTTGACAAAACTGTTCCTGGGCAGCTTCTTTCTTTCAACCGATCCTGAATGGTCCCCTGGTTCACCAAGGAAGGTTTTTCAGATGGTGGTAGGGGATCACCCGTAGATCACCCTAGAGGAAATGGATTATTTTGACTCTTTTCCATCATGGTTCTAGCTTGGGCATGGGATGGAAATAGCATTGGTCACACTAGTGGATGATCTTTGTGAGGACCTTGTCAGGGGAAGACCATCCTGACCATTGAAGTCTTCTCTTTTAAAACCATCATTCATGGTATCTTTCTGGACCACTTGCAGAGTTTGGAGATTGGAGGCAGGGTTCTGCAGTGGTTCTGCTCCTTCCTCAGGGGAAGATTCCAGTTGGGGTGGGAAAGGAAGTTGGTGCAGTTGGCACAGTGGGTGCTTCCATGTGGGGTACCACAATGTCAGTCCTCTCCCCCCTACTTTTTAAAATCTACATGAAATCAGTGAGAGAGTTCATCTAACAGTTTGGGGTAAATATCATCAGTATGCTGATGATTCGCAGTTATACAACTTTACCCCTGATCTGGCTGGTGATGCCAATGAAGGCTTGTCTTGCTGATTGAAAGCTTTGAGGGTCTCAATGGGATAGAAGTGAATCCTAGCAAGACAGAGATAGATTGTTCATTGAGACTCTCTGCCTGCTCCAGTGCCTCTTGATGGGGAAGCACTGCCTCTGAAGAAGCAGGACCATGACTTGGGGGTCCTCCTGGATTCATGGCCACAGCTTGAAAGCCTTTGCCCAGCTTTGGCTGGTGTGCCAGTTGTGGCCCTAATAGGGGTGCAAAGACCATTCTTTCCACCTGCTTAGATTACTGCAACTTGCTATGCATGGAGCTCCGTTTAAAGGCCACTCAGAAGCTTCAGTTGGGCCAAAGCGCAGTGGCCTGTATGCTACTTGTCATTCACTGGTGGATGCACATTACACTTGTGCTGTAGACCCAGCACCACTTGGCAGTTGGCTTTGAGGTGCAATTTAAAAGGCTTTTATGGCTTAGCATCAAGTTATGGTTTTCAGAAACAGCATTGGCCTTCTGGAATAGCCTCCCAGTAGAAATTAGATGGTCTCCCAATTTGGCTGCCTGCTGGAAGTGGCTGAAAAAGAAGCTTTTCTGGAGGGCATCTGGACCTTGATGTTATCTGGATTGCACATTGATGGCTATTGTCCCATGTTGGAATTTTTGGTGGACTATTGTTGCATATTGGAGTTTTACAATAATTTTGTATTGATTTTGATATTACTTGCAAATTGTGAACTGCTGAGGGTCCTTTGGGCCTGTGGCAAGATAAAAGTAAAGTAAAGTAAAAAGTAAAGTAAAGTAGTAAAATAAAGCAAAACTATCTGTGCTAGTTCTACTACAGACTGGGTCCTCTCTGGCTTTTAAAGAAAATCTTTTAATGAAAAAATAAATAAATAGAAAGCTGGTGGGCTACAAAGCAGAGCATCATCATCTAGCATCATTCTGATTTAAAAGAACATCTGAGTTCCAGAGGCCTAGAGATGTACGCCTCATAGTTAATCTTGAACAATAAAAATGGTGGATGACTGGGTTCCCACTTTGGTTGAAGGTGTTGCCGTTGGATGAAGAACAAAAGTCATTGGAAGTGGTCGACAACATCCTAGGAACTAGAAAGAGAAGCCTGAATAGTTTACCTTTGAGTGAATATTTGTGACTGTCATGCCTACCATGGCAACACTTTTATGAACAGGTAATCTCCCACGCCACAACATCTTTTTTGTTAGACTGTCCATGACATGCTTTCAAAATTCCAAGTGTGCTTGCTGAAATATGTTTCCAGCCTCTGGAACAGATACTCCTAGAAGGATCTAGAACTGAAGTAGAACTTACTGACCAATAAAGTGCTGGCAATCCAACCTGAAATATTTTACTCCCCCCCCCCCCAATGACTGGCATAGGATTAGAAACATTGACTGGAATGGACAGATAAAGAAAACAGCCTCTCTTCTTCTAATTCAATGGCAGAAAGTTCAGCTAGCACACTCCTTTGTGGTATACTGTAAAATCATTACTTTCTACACCACCTTATCTTCAGAATTATTTTGATCTGTCAATAATGGAGATCTGGTTCGTGAAAAAGGTCCTTTCCTGGAAAATAAAATTGTGTGCCATTGTACACTTTCCTTTGCATGAAGCAGATAGTTAATCTGCAGGTAACATAAAGGTGCACCATCTGTTATATTATAACAGGTTACATTCTTAACAAAAGAATGTGAAAGAATGATTTATGAAACTCACAGCCACAATAGTTTGCACTACTTTGCAAATGCTAAATCTGGAATTTTTCAGATCTTGAGCACAATTGTGCAAATGGAACTGCACTGAGCCTCAGCCTTGTTCTTCACATCAAGAGTCCTCCCACTGTCCTTGTCCAACCTCCCTTTCCTATGGCCTTTGTAAGAAAGCTCTGGAGATAACAAGTGTTATAAACTTCCTTATTTGACTGACCGCTTTGATTTAAAGGAAAAGAGAAGGTGTAGGCTTCCCAGGCCACCTGCCTGATTCGGTAGCCAGCCAGTGGGAGAGACAGGGAGAGACTGTCCAAAGCCTCTCAATAAGTTTGCTTTTCTCTTTTTGCATTTTCTGTTTCTTCTAATAGGCAACTTTAATTTCTCTGTTAAACAGTAAAGACAGGATAGCAAAACTGCATTCATTTGATATTATTTATTCATTCAATAAAATTCATTAATATTATTAATAATTATATGTATATGTATTATTATTACTATTATTGTTATCATATCAATGGGTTATCAGTTGAAGAATTGGAAGTACTAAGCAAATAAGCACGTTATACCTCTGTACACCTTGGTTTCTTTCAAAGGGTTCAAGGCCAGCTTCTCAGCTGCTTCCACGGATCCAGCTGGTCCATCTGTTAAAGAGATTGTGACAACCATCAATCTCGTAATGGTGAGTAGTACCGGACAATTATATTAGTAGACTAAATTGAAAAAGCAGAACTCTTTACATGGTTTTGGCTGGTCTTTATTCATGACATGTCATAAAATTGTCAGAGGTCTTAACAGAGGAAAACTTAATGATAATGAATCATCATTAACACTTACTTAAAAATGGCCAATGGATTGTTGTTGGGGTGGGGTATTTTTAGTTCCCATATATGAGAGGAAAGGGCATGCAAGAGGAAAAAGAGCAGCAGACTGTTTCTGTTTTAGGCAGAAGCCTCAACAAAATGCAGGGATTTCACATGTAGACTCTGTATCACAAATGGACATGTTTTGTTTTCATAACAGAGCACTCCTCCCCTGCAACCGTAGAATGAGGCACAAGGTTTGAGTCAAGCCTCAGAAGCAAACAGTCAGACATTCACACTGAAGGTTTTTTTTTTTTTTCCCTTTAACCAGAACATCACTTTCAAGCAGCCCTTTAATAGTTTGGAAGAGATCAGAGGCGAGAAAATTAGAGACCTAAAATGGTTACTAACTATAGCTTGCGAAAGTTCTATTGCTCACTGAAGCCTTCGGCTGAAGAGAGACTTTCCTTCAAACTCTGTGCTAAAGAACAATTTTTAAAAGCCACCATGTATGCCCTCTGGATAGAAAGATGAAATAGTGATCCAAAAGATCATTAAAATATGAATACGGAAGAGATTAAACTGGCCTATATGAAAGACCAAATGAAGAATAGAAAAGAGACATGGCAAGGCAAAGTATTACATGGCCAGTACACACAAAAAAACTAGCAAGCAAAGCAGATAACAACAAGACCTGGCGATGGCTATGAGCAGGAAAATTTAAGAAAGAGGCAGAAGAGCTAATTCTGGCTGCACAAGACTAAACCTTAAGAACAAATGCATACAAAGCCAGAATTGAGAAGACAGCAACAGGCAGCAAATGCCACCTCTACAAAGAAGCTGAAGAAACAGGGGACCACCTAGTTAGCTGCTGCAAGAAGATCGCACAGACTGACTACAATCAATGGCATGACAAAA